GTAGCTTATATGCCCTTACATTTCTCTGTCATCCGTTCAGCGCACTCGTTTAGGGCTTGAGAGTTCAAGGTCGTTCAACCGGCTCTCATGCTCGATTCCAGAGCACCTTTCGAATGCAATGAGAACTCGGTCATATACACAACATGCGTAATACTCATACAACTAACTGTTTATAGCTTGTTAAACTACCAAGATAAAATGAGCCTTATTATTTTTATTGCTGGCTTATGCAAAGGACCTGTTCGTTTTGGTCGATATATTTAGATGAGTAAATTTTAATACTTATCGTATTATGTTGAGTGTTGTATAATATTAAAACCTGCTCCTTACTGTAAATGTGTTAATGTAATATGATCAAGCTTGAAGCTGTTTTTTTTTGTGGATGTTGTATGATATTAATTAACTACTTTATATTTATATGGAAAAAATATTAATGTTGTATTGAGAACAATTTAAAAAGTATGACTGATAAGTTTGCCTTGATAATTAAGACGATTAAGCTTAAGTCAACATTAATTTTGGCATGTAACCTCTTCGCATCCTTTATTTGTAAGCGATAAAATCACAAGAAGGATATTCCCACTACCATATTTATATTTCTCACATTATTTATAAGGAAATTGAAGTTTCTTCCGTTAAAGCGTTCACCAATTTTCGAGTCCTTGTAAGATTATAATCGTGAATGGAGAAACGTGATTCGTTGAAATGTAATTTGGAAATGATACATTCAGAATTGTCTCAGATGTAGGAATTTATTTGTGGGATTTGAAATGCTCTATATAAGAGTTTGTATAGGAACATATTATCATGTTTTGGTGAAAGGTACATTTACATTATTCAATGGATTATTCAATAAACCTGTTTCATATATTTTTTTCATAGACATAAAAAAATGAGCATGATTTTAGAAGAAAAAAGAATTGGTTTAAATTTGTTAATACCGGCACAAATGGTTTTTACTGTAACAATAAAGACATAAATGTAAATAATGTAAAAAGTTATTGTTACTTTTAAATTTTGATAAATAAAAAATACTTTATAACACTCAATTGTAATTGATAAAAACGTAGTTTCAGTCCTGATATAATTATCCAAAATTGAGTCAAATATATTATTGAGGCTAAACTCCATACTCAGAATTCGAAAACAAAACGTTTCTCACAACTAAGATAACTCACAATATTCATTCGTCAACCATATTTTATGTATCACAGAAGAAATTCAGATTTTTTTCCCTTAACTCTCCCAAGTTAATGAATCCCGAATTTAAATCACCCAATAGCGTATAACCAAACTGTTTTATTGACAAAATAAAATCATAAGGGAAGCAAAACATGCTGTAATGTACAATAGTTCTCAAGAACTAGATAATTGTTGTTAACGTAACTTATTAGTAGAGCAAAATCATTATATAAAAATATTTCATCGATAATGCATGGGTGTCATGCGTAATTAAGTGTGAACTTTTTTTTGCTAATTGTTTGTGTTTGTATGAGGAAGAGACTTTATTAACATGCAGTATAGGAAAGGATTTTATGTAATATTTAACATATAATATGTTAATCTTTAATCTTTATTGTAAATTATATTTCCTGTATTGATAATTGTTACGTCATATTACAGCATTCAATATTATGATAATTTGTTCAAAAGAAATGTACATATATGATTTTGTGATTTAATAAATGATTTATACAAAAATACGATTTAAAAACTTGTCAATATATAGATAAGATAAAACTAAAATTTGAAAACCAAAAATCAAATTTTGGAATCTGCATTCATGTAAATGAGATTTCCAAATTCATTCACATATTAATATTGATGTATGTGTAACCTAATGACCCTGAGAATGTTGTGTTTATGAATGCGATGTTAAAACGATAAGAAGAAAACTTAATAAACATTTTATTTGAGATGGAAAAACATTCATAGATTTTAATTATTATGAAAACTATCAAAACAAAGTCACATGGAACAAAGTATATTATGAAAAATTATTATTATGTTATAATTTATATTTTAAATTTGTATGAATAATCAGATTTTGTAAATTTAAATTGAATGAATTTCATTCAAAATAATTTTAAACCACAGTCAAATAAAAACCCATAAAAAATTTATAAGGTACGAGATAAAAATTATAAATTTTGTGTGATTATAAATACATTATCACTGATCATTGCAATACACAAAACACTTTTATATTATTAAATAAATTACTCGTATAATATGTAACAACTCCTCATTATAAGCACGTGTATTATTGTAAAGTGTAACGAATTTTTTTATATCATTAATTTAATAAGTAAAAAACGTCGTATCACTGAACGTGGTGGCCGATACAACTGTCGACGCACGCACGCGTCCAAAGCCGGCATCTCGTACGACCGTATACACACGAAGGACCCTTGCAGCAAAACGTACTCCCAACATTTAGAGGGGCGACAGCGAAAGTTCTACCAAATAAACAACTATAAAAAGTCAGGGCACCGTTGGCAAAGCATCCAGTCAGATTCCCGACTCCAACCACCGTTCAAGAGGCATTATGAAGACGGTGAGTGAAGTGAAGTGCGTGAAGTGAAGTTGCTTCAAAAAAGTGTTCCATCCAACACCCATATTTCTTGGGTATGAGTGCTGTGTTCGCGGGATGTCATACACTTTTTTGAAGTTGACTTATATTTTAAATAAAACGATATATAATCGTTTAACTAAATAACATCAAATTATTAAGCGATTTTTTTACATCGAGCGTGATCATTTAAAACTACTATTACTTAAATTAAATATTTAATTTGTTCAATATTAAAAACGTTTTTATGAACGGTCAAGAAAATATTTAAGAAACGGTCAAACATAAACGCAATTCCATGAGAACTTGAAAATATTCGAATAAAGTAGTATTAAAATTACTAAAAAAAGATCCACCGATAATGTAATATTTAGCTGATGTTAAAACGTACTAATAGTAGCCTTTAACAATGCCAAGAATCCCTTGATTGCGTCACAAAGCATTTCCTTCTTTGATCTAGACAAGTTTCGAACTAGGAAGACAGAATGGACCGTGAAACCCAGGTATTATGTTGCCCGTAGGTTGTATCTGGTTGTTTATGTAATTGCGGCAGAAACAGATCTTTTTACCAATTCATTATATAAAACCCCCGAGGTTTCGAGAAAACGTAAGTGCAAAAAATGTACATCAATCCATCGTTTTGGAACAAAATTTTAGAACAAGAAGTATTTTTTCTCGGTATAAAATAAACATTGATAGATTAGTGTTATTATAAAACTTATTTAATAATATCTCGTATTTGTATTTGCAGATTGACCCATTATTTTTGCAGTCTATTACTCCATCGCAATATCCTGCAGAGACTTGTTTTCGCAAAACCCGATGGCATAAATTCATAAGCTATGATTAAGAATTTGCATTCATTATTACTGGTATAGCTGCTTTTTTGGGTCAGTTTAATGTAAAATTTGTACTCGAATAAGATTTAAGGAAATATTTAGTAATATTTAAATCTTCTGGAGCCTAAACAAAGTACGCGCGTATTCAATGATTTCTTGATTTTGATAAAAAAATTATTAATTATAATTAAAGAGACTATTTCAGTGAGAAGAATAATTTAATTAAAAGAAAAAAAATCTTCTTGAATATTATCTTATTGTGAGTAAAAATATATTAAACATTAAGAGACTTAAAAACGAGATTTACAATTCAATATGAATTTTTCATACAAATACAGGAAAATCATTAACTGTTGTTTTGCAATATATATCCAGTGGCACTATGAACGCCTGGTTCAATTAAAATGCTCAGGAACCTGATAATCCGGATTGAGAAAATGTATGACTATTATATGATTCAATACACGAATTAGGTAACCGTTACGTATTGGCGCCCCTAAAGAATATGCATTTAATCGTGCAAAAAGTTATGAATACAAAACATAGTTACGCTTCAATGTAAATAAAGACGTTCAAGTTTACCGATTTATTAAAGGCATGTTGCAAATTTTAACCACATATGGCATTGGAAATACACTGTAAAATTATTTAAAAGAATTCTCATTGTTATGAGAGCTATTTTTCTACATAGAATTAAGCAAGTCTCCCACGGGTAAATTGACCTCTTTGGATATACGAAATACATTGTTATTTTAAATCGTAATATCACCAATTAACGAAATGATTAATGTAGTACGGCTCTGAATTAATAATAGTTTATTATTTGAATTGAATATGAAATATTTATTTAACAAAGTCGATCGTTTGTTATCTTGCGTAACACTGGTAATGTATCATGATTCAATTCTATTGCGATACAATTGGCATTGCAAATCTAATTAGTTTCAAATGGATGCATCTATCAAATTAATTAATGTTCAGATACAATTCTAACTAATGTCTAATAATTCATTTTTAATATCGTTTTATAAACTTAAATAACACTAAACACTGCAATTTCCTTTTATAATAACTTTGTCTATAAATCTTATGTGTGATTAACTAAGTTATTGCTTCTACTCCGCCTATACAAACGTTGGAACGTGTATCGGACACAAGAATAAGACTTGAACCTTTGAAGCCAGTTACGGAACCATTTGTATAAATCATTTATATAAATAATAATCTCTTCATCATTAATGTGGTGAACATTAGATACATATTTATAAGTTTCCAAATAAATTTTTAAGGGCCTTTTTATTCACGTTAGTGTCATTGAGAATATAATATTAATATCCGATGCAAATTTTCTGTTTCGTTATAATCAAAGGTTTTTCATTCAAGAGATTAATTTGTTTACATTTCCCACAAAGTTATGTATTTGTTAACATAATTTCTACACATGTTTTGAAAAAATTTAGTTTTTCACAATTTTGTTGAATCCACATATGAATAACCATCATACTTATCGTTTCTTTTTTTTTATAAATATCTTGTTATTCTTAATATTCCTAGGTTATATTAGATATAAAGGAATCCTTGCTCAAATATTGCCTTCTTTACAGATCTGTCTAGTTTTTCTGCTGGTAGCAGCAGCAGCTGCCAGCGAGAAGAAGTCTACAGAACAAAAAGCTGAAGGTCTCGAAAAGAAGTTGGACAAACGTGGTCTTCTAAACTTGGGTTATGGCTACGGTATCAGTGGACTTGATATTGGCTACCTCGGCAGTGGACACGGACATGGTGGTGCTTACAACTACGTAGAAGACGGTGCTCTTGCAAGCTCTGGATATGGCATCAACCTGGGAGGTCACACCGATGTCACCAGAACCATCACTTTGGTCAAGGGAGTGCCCGTTGCTGTGCCAGTAGACAGGCCCGTTCCCTACCCAGTAGAGAAGCACGTACCTTACCCAGTCAAGGTACCAGTACCCCAGCCCTACGAGGTTGTGAAACATGTGCCAGTACACGTTAAGGAATACGTTAAGGTCCCCGTTCACGTACCTGCACCATACCCAGTAGAGAAGAAGGTGCCTTATCCCGTTCACGTTCCAGTTGACAGGCCCTACCCCGTCAAGGTTTTGGTACCTCAACCCTACCCCGTAGAGAAGCACATTCCATACCCCGTCAAGGTACCAGTACCCCAGCCCTACCCAGTTGAGAAACACGTACCATACCCAGTTGAAGTTAAAGTACCAGTTCCTCAGCCCTACCCAGTAGTCAAACATGTCGGTGTACCCGTTAAAGTGCCAGTTGACAGGCCCTACCCTGTACATGTACCAGCTCCCTACCCCGTTGAGAAGCCAGTGCCCTACCCCGTACATGTAGAGAAGCCTGTAGCCTACCCAGTTCATGTACCAGTAGACAGGCCATACCCCGTCCATGTAGAGAAGCCCGTAGCAGTTCCCGTCAAGGTTCCAGTTCCAGAGCCTTACCCAGTATACAAGCACATCCCAGTTGAGGTCGAAAGGCCAGTAGCTGTTCCCGTGAAGGTGCCAGTCGACAGACCCTACCCAGTACATGTCGACAGGCCCGTGCCCGTCCCCGTGGAGAAGCCATACCCAGTGCCCGTCAAAGTCCCATACCTCGTCAGCGAGCACGACAACAGTCACTACAGCCTCGGAGGCTCCTACTACGAGCATTAGATTAAGTTAGTTAAAATATATCATCTGTCACCGTCACCAGCTATTTATATCTCGCCAACGGCCGGGACACCAGCAAAACTTCTTGACTATTGAAACTGTCCTACTATATGTAATGTCATATAAGATTTAAGAAGGTACAGGCGTATGTGATGCAAAGTTACCATTAATAGGTTAAGTCGACTGTAAAATACGAAATAAAAATGTTAAGATTATAAAAGGTGCTGTTTTATTATAGATCAGGAAATGTTAAAGGTCTCCACCGAACATGGAAACGATCATAATCAATTGTCCACAATCTTTGCCTTCTGTGGCCTTGTTGAAAGCGCGGTACTTAGTCATAGTACATATAAGCGAACGTGCTACTTATCTATAAATGTATAAATAATTATTTTTTGGCTATAAAAAATAAATACATTCTAGTTTTTTTAAGTTATTTCGAGGTCAATAGTGTTAGAATATAATTTTCCGGAGTATTAGTTAAGTGTTACATACATTTTTAAAACATTGAAGTTATAACTTTTTGTATTAAATGAAACATCAAAATATATAAGTAAATACAATACTAACCATGATGAATGAACAATATAAGTATGAAATCCATTGTATCATATTTTATGTCTTTTATTCGATTTGCTCTAAAGATGTCAAAGATAATATCTGAATATGTTGTAATAAGTTCCAAGGAATCTTGTGTGACTTTTATGAAACTAAACATATTGTCCTATTGTTAGTGAATGTAACACGCAATATACACACACTGACATAGAAACTACGAATGCCCTTCGAGTATTTTAATTAACAGGTTTTTTTAATTTTAAATTATGATTGTTTTTATTGTTTAGTTCCTAGATATTCAAAGCTCGTTCATACAGATTCATTGTCATTGGGACCTCAGAAAAGTTGAATAAAGCAACACGTGCAATAAGTATTTGGAAGAGACCAATAAATTATTTATTGCAAAATCTTAGTCCCATGGCTTCTTGCGTCACAGAGAGTATACTACATATAATGTCTATATTTCTTTTTGACATGGACAATTTTCTTAAAGTTTATGTCATAGAATGTCCGTTAATTACTAAAATGATTTCTACTAGACCAAATATAATATAATTATTAATGCATATTTAATGAAAAACTTTGTATGATTTGATATAGTTATCTATTTCGGGGATTTTGAGTAACGTGAAGTCATATAAATTAAAGATTTTAAAAAAGAAAATTGTATCAATGTCCAACTTTGGAATTAAAATATATATATTTCTTATTATAAATTTCTCATAGTAATTTTAACAAAATCCATTACATTAATAAAATATTCACTTTAATTTAAGTGTTACGGTTTGTGTATCGTTGATTTATTTTCTGTTAAAGAAGTAAACGTTTTAAAGAAGACAATTTATCTTATAGTGTTCTTGAAGCAATGTACTTATTAAGGTAGTTAATAAGGTATAATGACAATATCTCGACTACTTCATTAGTTCATATATGATATTAAAACCCTTTCATAAACTTTAATAATTAAAAATATTTCCTAAAGCAATTATTTAGAGATATTACACGGTATTTCTACATCATATTAAATAATATAATTATTTAAATTAATTCTTTTATATACATCTTTTCCTTTTTATGATTTATATTCATTTGTATTCCTTAAGTATCCTTTACAAAAACCTTAGGAGATTCGAGGTGAATGTAGATTTTACCGTCTAAACCTACTGCTAAGGTTAGGCTATAAGCCATATAAAAACGTAATATTAAATAATTATAACATTACGAAAGTCAATTTAGTCAAGTTATAAGAACGGCTCCATTCATATTTCCAGCACGCGCTACGCCATCTAGTGTACATAAAGGAACTAAAAATACTCACGCATATGTGGAAAGTGTTTCGCATAATGTGATTTATCACCACTAGAGGTCAGGAGTATTGGTCTTGAATATTGTTATATCTATAATGATCCCTAATTTTTCTTGTACTATTTCATTTATCCTACTTTTTACTTTTATTTTTCTAACATGTACAATCGCTTCTACAATTCAGTATTAATAAGAAGGCTAAGAGTTCATGAATGTACATTTTTGTTACTTCTCAATTATTAAGTAACTTTAAATGTAATGAAATGTATTAAAATGTTTACAGTTACTATAAAAACATACATCTGGCTTTAATATTGACGTGAATCAGTTACTTGAGTATTTTGAAATTTTTGCTGGTGATATTGCTTTGAGTATTTGAAGTAAACAATATTTTTGCTTATCATATTTCACTATCAATAATTTTAATAGTTTGTGAAGATTGTTAACGTTTTTGTGTTCTATAAAATGTTGTGAGGTGTGATGTACTGATATTTGTAAGACTATCGATCATTGCTGTCTCTCTGTTAGCCAACAAAGATTGATGAAGACATTAATGTAAAATCAAATTTAACGGAAACAAAATGCGTTATTTAATATTTATTAACCATCAATTTTAAAGACAGTTATTCAATTTAATATTGTTAGATGCATAAAATAGAATCTAGACATTATATAATTTAATTTATATAAGATTATTTTCAGAAATGTTCAGAATAAGCTCATTGTACTATTTTATGTCTCAGTCTTGGCCTTGGGTGATGAGGAACTTGAAAAAATACGGATGTATTTTGTACTCATTAACCTTTTGACCCTTGAAAACCTGATGAACTTATCACTTGAGATTAAAGAGCTTCATTGCTTCCAGAAAAGGCATTCGCTCAAAGTAAGTTTCGAAAATCGACGTCTTACATTATTTTAACAGTAAAATAAATATTGTGTTTTGTAACGAGAGACGAATTTAGTTGCTAATAGATCTTCTGTATTGCATTATCGGTACCAAACTATTTGATATAGAACTACAAGTAATACTAACTATGATGAGACGAGGTGTCAAAGTTAACAGATTAGGAAAGACAGAAAAACAGATTGGTGATACGTAATATCGCAATTTAGAGTTGTAGACTGCTTGCTTAGCGAACGCATTAGGATTGCAAAAGCATGTTTAGAAATATAAATACCACATTACATTTTTTTCTTTTGTTGTTGAACACCTCTTATGGGTATGATTTCGTACAAGCTGGCAAGTAAAGACAGATCCAAGGTAACATTAAATGATGTAATGACTGTACTAGATTCTCATGTCTACCCCGTGGCTATAAAACTTTTCCGGCTGGGTTTTAACGAGATTTATAAAGAGTGTATAATTTGATGAAATCGCAACTGTTTTAATTGTTATTATAGCTATAAACACCTCATATGGTCGGCGGATACATAGTTTAAAAATATTCTTTATATTAATCATTCAACAAAATATAGTGCGATCTTTTATATTTAAGCAACTACCTATGTATGTATATATCTCGTTTATTTTGTTTGAAATGTCCAAGTCTAAATTGTATAATGGCTATTATTTATAATTACATATTTTTTCTGTCTTTTCCGCTGTACAAACTGGATGAAAGATAATTTTAATTTATATTTACGACAATACAGACAGTTACATTGTTAAGCCGGATGCAATACTATTTCGGGAAAACCTGTAATTATTTCTGTAAAGTCATTTAGTCGCTTGCTTAGTCATTTTTCTAGCGCCTTTCAAACTAAGAAAATAAATATATTTAGAACTAATGTTAATTTTAAATGATTCGGTAATTGATTGGTATTTTAAACTTGGTATCAAAACATTTATTCAATAAGATGCACATGTATGCTTCAGATTGATAATATTGTGCGCAATCAAAGATATGATGAAATGTAAAAGTATTACATACCACGCCTTAAATTTAATTCAGTATCAAAATTTTAACTCCCCAAAATGGATTACGTCATGCTTAGTTAAATGCTACTATAATTATATACGAATTAATAAAAATAAACATTCTGAAACATGTTATATTAAATTGGTGTGTCGATGATCAAGAAATAAATGTATTTTATTAAGAAATTCCTCTTTAAAAATAAATCGCAAGATGTAATCTACTTTTACTGTACTCAAGGTCAATAAATGAAGAAAGGAGGCTACATTCAAAACGGGAACCGTGCTCGTTACATAATTGTTAAGCCGATGATCGACTTTTCGTTCCATTCCAAATATAATTGCATGTTTCATTATAGCAAGGAATTTAACACAAAGCAACAAATTCCTATCAATTTCATACAAACGCATTAATCCTGTTAAATACGTGACTAAACAGGAGCTTCTATATGTATTGTTCTATAAAGATTGTGTTCATGCTGTTAAGAGTCCTTTGTTTTAATTTAAAAAACGATTTAATAAATCAATTTTTAGCAGCTAAGCTAATCATGTATTTAACACAAGGGCTACATATATTAGGATTTTGTAAGAGAAATGTTTAGCATATAATATTAGAAGATACGAATGGACAAAGTCTCTCTAAACTTACATATGTACATTAATAGCATATTTTTTGAGTTATCAAAAAACAAGTTCGTGTAATCAATAACCATATAAAAAACGAATACCAATATAATTTAAATAGTTGTAATGTAACATAAGTACGTGGAGATCTATTTCAGAACAATGTTATTATTTTAAAGACATTAGGTTCAAATGCTTGATATAATACGATGATTTCATCTCGTATAATTACGGTAATCTAGTATTACACATGATGATTTGCTAATCTGTGGTCCGATTCATAAGAGGTAGCGTTTATAGGTATACTGACTATTAATAAAACATATGTACATATAATGAGATCTAAGATTTTCGCGAGTATTCATATAAATGAAACTAATATTTTCCAATTTACTACGCGATTTTTATTTTTGATTATAAACTACATACTCCTGACGTTTCGTCTGCCCGTGATCACGGTTGATGTAAGGTAACCGAAACGTTGAGAGTATGTAGTTTTTAATCAAAATAAAAATCGCGTAATAAATCCGAAAATATTAGTTTCATTTATATGACCATATAATTTTGTTGTTTTTATAACAAATTGAAGAGAAACCAAAGT